CCTGATGCTTTTCCAAGCTTGTTCTAAGTAGGTGCTTTAGACCACTGAGCCATCTCTCCAGCCCTAAGAGGAGGTTTTGCATGTGTGTGTGTGTGTGTGTGTGTGTGTGTGTGTGTGTGTGTGTGTCTGTCTGTCTGTCTGTCTGTCTGTCTTCTTTTTGTAGTACCGGGAATTGAACTCAGAACCCTGCGCTTGCCAGGCAAGCACTTATTCTCCTGAACTATCTCCCCAGGCCCTGTGTTTTGTTTTTGAGACAGAGTCTCACTATGTAGTCCAGGGTGACCTCGAACTCACTATGTCACCCAAGCAGGCCGAAAACTTGAGGTAATCTTCCCCTCCTGAGTGCTGGGGTGCTAAGTGCCCACCCTGCCAGACCTCCACATGTCTAATAGTAGAATGAGGAAAGGAGAGAGCCAAAGGATACTTAGTTCTTTGAAGGAGTCTTTGTAAATTCCACACAATTCTTCTGTTTTTTTTTTTTTTTTTTTTTTTTTTTGTTTGTTTGTTTTTCTTTCTGGTGTTACCAGGGATTGAACTCACTTATTCCACTGAGCTATCTCCCCCGCCCTCCTAGTTGTTTTTCATTGGCTGGAATATGCTCTCTCTCTGTCTTACCTGCCTGCAACAGACAGGAAAGTGTTCCTTCAGCTGCGTGAAGCTGCCAAAGAACAGGACTCTGTGGGTGAAAAACAAAGGCCTCGAAGCGAGCTCCCAGCAGCCCCTCGGCAGTGGCGGGCTGGCTGCACAGCCCCCTGCCCCCCCCCCAACAGCCAGCCGCCCGGGCTCTATGGCCTCTGGGGAAGCACAGGGGCCTCCAGCTGGGCGCGGGACCCAACGACCAGCAGTGCCAGAGTCGAAGGGAGGACACTATTTTGCACACCACGACAGGGCTGCCGAACTCAGAGCTGGTGGCATCAAGGACGAGTCAGGAGGGTCGCTGGGGTAGGGTTCTGTCACTCGGTCCCTTTCCGACCCCTCCTGGTGGAGGAGATCTGGAGACTTTGAGCGCTGAAGCCAGGCAGGGTTCAAATCCCAGAGCCAACAGCACTGTGACCCTAGTGAGTCACTTTGTCCTGAGAATTAGCCCCAGGGAGTGGAGACAGAAGAGATCCGGCCAAGAGGTGACAGGTTCGCCTGGCGCCTGCTGTTACGGTTTCCATCTGGGGTATCAAGAAAGTTCTGTGCGAAGAAGGTGATGGATCCTCAGGGCGCTGACCCGCGTAGATTCATCCCCACCGAACTAGGGTTGGGGTGCTGCTAGGCGGCTGGGGGGCGGGGGCGGGGCCATCCCTGCTTCTCCCCTCTCTGCTCCCGACCGCCCCTTCTAAGGCAAGGAACATCCCGGGTTTATTGGGTTATGCGCTCTCAGGAGCACCCCAGGGACACAGCTCTTTGCCCTCCCCGCCCACGGCCGCCCCGGTCAGAGGGTCCATTCCATGGCACGGTGATGGTCAGGGCCCCAGCAGCCCTGAAGCTGCCACTAGAAAGACAGGCCCTATCTGGATCCTGCAGCATCGGCGTGGACAGCGCGCAGCCAGGAAAGGCTCTTGGCTGACACTGACTCTCACCCAACATCTTCGCCCTCTTCTCATTCCAGAGTCACAACCATCGCGACTCCTGGAAGCCCCGAGGCTGCTCAAGTGCCTGCCTACACACCTCTATCCTCCGCTAAGAAATGTCTTTCCTTCCTGCAAATCTGCACGCTTGACTCTGAATCCTCCCAGACTACGTCACTAGGGCAACAGCAAGGACCCCGCTGTCCTGTGCCTGTGACATCACTTGCTGCCTGCAGCCCCTGTGACCTCAGCACCCCGACCCTTCAGCACAGCCAAGACGCCCCTCCAACCAGCAGGCGGCAGAGGGCACAGATGACCACAGGGCCCCCGGGAGAGGCTGAAGCCACCAGCAGTGTCCCCCATGGGCCTCCCGGGGCCAGTGACAGGGCTGGGGACACCCCAACTGAAGGGTCCCAGAGTCAGGACCCCCTCCCTGCCGATGCCTCAACAGCCGATGGCTCCGCAGGGTCCCAGGATGTAGAGCACGAGCCCAAGCCACCCTCCGGGGACAAGGACAGGAACGCAGCCGCCGGGGGCAGCAGCCCAGAGGAGCCAGAGGAGGTCTCGCCCCTGCCGCAGGAGCCCAGGGGGGAACAGCCGAGCGAGGACGCGAGGGCTCCGAGCAGCGCGGCTTCCTCGGGCGCCCCGCCAGCTCAGGAAGAGAAGACGCGGGAGGCGAGCGCCGCCCCGGGGCAGGCAGAAGCAGCGCCGGACCCCGCGACCCAGGGGGCCGCCGCCCCGGCCACTGCACAGGCCCCTGCGGTGCCCGGACCCGCTCGGGACGCAGCCGGGGCGACCACAGCCGCGAGCCCTGCCTCGGATGTGGGCCCAGCTCGGGGCTTCCCGAGGTCGCAGCCGCTGGACCCCGCGCACTACGCGGCAGCCGAGGAGACCGACTACATGCGCTCGGTGACCAGCTTGCTGGGCGCGGGCGAGAGCGCCATCGGGCCGCTGGCCGACGTCCTAGCGTGGCCCGAGGCCACCGTGGGCATGGGCCTGGCGCTCGGGCTGCTGGCCACCGCCCACGGCTCCCCCGCAGACTTGCTCAGCGCCGAGGGGCCAGACCTGCGCTCCATCTCCAGCATCCTGGGCGGGGCCAGCTTCTCCGCCTGGCTGCGGGAGGGCACCGGCTCGGCCCTGCGCTCCCTCACCCGGGCGCTGGTCTCCGTGGAGCGGAGCACCCGGGAAGGCCTCCGCTCAGCCCTGCGCTACCTCGCCGGGAACCTCTGCCCACGCGGGGCCGCGGCTGCCCCCGGCGCGGGGTAGAGGTCTATAGCCTGGCCCACGCAGCCCACCACGCAATAAACCCTCAGCCAGTCAGCGACTGTCTTCTGAGCGCCAGCCTCACCAAGGGACGGGGGGCCTAGGGCAGCCAACACTCAGGACAAGAGCAGAAACAAGGATCCCCGAAGGGCTCCTGGGGTGTCCTGTTTGGTAGCAGCCCCGGGAGAGACAGCGCTTGTGGGCAGTAAAGGGACCCAAGGCTGGGCAGTGAAAGGAACTAAGACGTGTTATGGACCCAGCTGTGTAAAATAGTGTTTCTGATGTATTGCGTGTACTATCCCAGCACTTGGGAGGCTGAGGCAGGAGGGTAGCAAGTTCCCCCAGCTGGGGAAACAATGAGTCTCTGACTGGAAAAAAAGGAAAGAAGGGAGGAAAGGAAGGAAGGAAGGAAGGAAGGAAGGAAGGAAGGAAGGAAGGACAGAGCTAGCAAGATAGCTCAGAGGTCTAAAGCATCTGTTTAGGCAAACTTAAGCAAGTGCAGGTACATGGTTTAATCCCTGATACCAAATGCCGCACCCCCAGGGTGGGTTGAGCCAGCCACAAAAAAAAAAAAAAAAAAAAAAAAAAAAAAAAA